ATTTATATAGAAAATATCCATCTAATTATTAAAGCTTTCTCAACTTGCTATCATTACAATTAAAATCTCAATCTGAAGTTGATGTGCATACAGTTATGATCATTGAATATCTTTCACAACTATTCAGTGAATCTTCACAAGTCTTGACCATCTACTAACAACATTGTGCAGATATCCAGAGTTTAAACGGATGCTTGTGATTAACTATAAAAACTTTACGTTGTGCCTGATTCTTGATTTTTATCGGCTGATTGATTGCAAAAAATCACATGTACAGAAATTGATCCTACGTCCTGGCCACATTAACTTTACATTGTTATTCATTGAATATTTACGACTTAATCCTAGATTATCCTCAAGTGTTTCAATATTTTAATTTTAATTGGTATCAATTTTTTAATCGTGATTAAGAACAAATCCGATCTCTATGCATTAATTGTTAGTTAGATAATAACAATCACGCAAATTAGCGTTACAGTTTTGGATAAACATTTGAAATCCTGGAATAACTTCGTATGTCAAGAATAAATTGATTTCTATGCACGGCTCTTAATGTATAATTTCGTATTCAAGAACTTATTAGTAAGATCAATTTGATCCTCATCAGGGTCTTTAATTTCTATAGCCATTTAAAGTTTGATAACGTACCATTGATTTATCCTAAAAAATCCTAAATGAATTAAAATAAATAAAGATAAATAAAAGATATACATAATTTCTTCTTACCATGCAATTATCTTTGAACGAATTAAGTCCATCAGTACCAACGCAGAAAAATGACAGATTTAATTTGATATTAAAAAATTGACCACCATAAGAAACGTATATTTATTAGGTTGCTTCGATAGATCTGTTTCAATAAAAGGTATTTATACTAGAATTATTTGCTTGTAAAAACCTTTTTTCAAATTTATCATTAGATAAATGACCATACCTTCTTTCAGCCCGATTTTTGAACAGTAATTCTTACAAAATCGAAAAAATTTCTTCGACTTAAATAGTTTTTGTGCTTGATTCTGAATAACTTAAAAAATCAATAGTATCCGTAATTAGGCTATATTTAGAATTTTCTTGACAACTCCCTATATTGTGTCGTAACATGTTCATAGACATTGTTTTTGATACACCACTGCCCTTCCAAGACGTTAAGAAATCACAAAACATAATGTTTGTGCTTATGACAACGCCAAAAACAACCGTTTTATCGCCACTCCGTAGACTATGGGTTTGTTTCTGAAATTCAACTTTTGATTTAGTTGCGGTCCCGCAGATTATGACTTTATTTGCGCATATGAAGATGTCTATATGCAAAATTCAAAGTTTTTTTTTGCGGAAACTTATAAATCGTTTGCGGTCCGCAAGCTCCGCAATCCGATTTCAAATTCCATTTTCTTTATCTAAAAATCAGACATGCCTATCGTGAATTAAATTATTTAATAAAAAAAAAAACCAAAAAAAAACCAGGTTGACAACTAGTGTTATCACCACTTTATCATTAACTCGTACATAGCTGGAATAATTCCACCAAAGGTCAATAAAAGTCCGCTCTCACAGTCTTAATAACTCTTAATACCTCAGCTTCTTCTATGTTTCATTATTCAGTTGTCATATTGATACTGAAGGATTTCAGAATTCACTCGGCGATATTCAAGCTTCTTGGCTTCGGGCATAAATTGACAAATTTCCGTATTTATAGTAAAAATTGAATTGTTGCACAATAATACTATTATATCAAATACGATTGGTCATCTGCAAATGAGATTTTCAATTTTGGTATCGAAAATAATTATTAAGCATTACGTATACTTTTTTTTATTAAATTATCAAATAAGAAGTCGGTTTTACCGAAACTCTAAGGTAATTTTATAAATGTTGTTTGCTATGCCTGAATTTTTTTTTTTTTTACTTTTTACCAAATTTTTTATCCGATGGTCTTTGAGAATATCGAGCATAATTTTTTTTTCATGTACAGTAATTTAAGAATAAAGGTAATGAATTATTATATATATATATATTTTTTAATGCCTAAACATATCATGTAGTATACCGTTAATTTGATTTGTTTTTTTTAGTCCTTTAAAATATTCGAAGCGCATTATACATGATTTATTATATAAAACTTGCGGGGAATTTGGTCAACAATGAGATAGTTATCTTATACCTTGGAAATACTCCATGTTAACGTAAAATAAGAAATGCATTCAAACCCTAACAGTTAAAAAGAAACCTTATGCTGTCCCTCAATAATTACTATTCAATTTTATGAACTGAAGTTAAAATTTTAGATATTACGTTAATTTTTAAATACTCTGAAAGTATATATAATATATATTAGATTATTAACACCAGTTAAATCCTATAATAATCACGATTATTTATTCATTTATTTATTTATTTTTTTTTGAAAATTTCTTTATAGCATATGAAACACGGGTACAATTTGTATATTGCAAAATTAAAAGTAAAAAATTCAAATTAGGTTAGGGCTTAAGGTGAATTTTGCAAGAAACCTTTTTTATTAGAACCCAAAATAGTTTTATAAGTAAAATTTTAAGTATTATAAATACCTGTGTTTCATACACTAGTGTACAAATAGAAATTGTCTTTGTTAAAAAAAAAAAAAAAAAAAAAAAATCTGGCGTTATCGTATAACTATCAGGTTTGAATAAGCAATGATTAAAGTTTTGTGACCTATTAACAATAGCATTACATTTAATCTACAATCGATCCAGAGATGGTAATAGAATTGTGCGCACAGCGCTACCGAAAATTCTTTCTCGAAGGCGTACGTACGAACACAGCATATCAACTAGAATGAAGTATTGTCTATCACATTGTAAATATACTGAAAAGTAAAAAAAAAAATTTTCAACTATAATTTTAAAATTCAATTACATAGTAAACTTTTTATAAAATAAAATTCCAATTATATATAAATTATATACCAAAAATTGATGTGTCACATAATACTCTTAACTACCACTATACACATTTGCTTTCTTATAATAATATACTGTAGCAAAATTCCAGATCGACTCCCTAAACAGTTCTCAGAGGCGTCAGGTGGTGCCAGACGAACTGGGACTGTTACAAAACGTTATCGAGCAATTTATATTAATTTGGCTGCTAAGCAGGGGGTCATGCATCTGTAACTTTTAATTCGTGTCACATATGTACGTCACTGATAGACATTACCAACAATATATACGTATGTACGTACGAATGGCTATTCGCCAAATTTTGAAAATTTTTGATTTTCAAAACTTTTCTCCGCTGGATGAATGTAATATATTGATAAAATAATACTTTATTAAAATTATACTGCTTTATATTGAACAATAACAAAAAAATAAAATAAAATAAAATAAATAAAAATTAAATTGCATTTCTATAGGCAAAACATTAGATAGCGCATAACTAAACCAACTTTCATATATACTTCATAAAAAAGAAATATGGAGAAGCCATTTCTTGTAAATATTAAAATTATTTAAATTAATTTGACATCTATAAATGGAAAATTTACAAGTAATCTTAATCTTTTATTCTTTTAGGATGATCAATTATTCAGTCTAATGTTGGGAGAATTTCCTGTCAAGTAATTTAAATTTTTCATGTCTTGTCGCATTTATTATTAGATTAAACAGATTAAAATTTATTCTTTGTGACATTTTTCATCATCTTACTTTTTCAGTTTTGCTGATGGTAGCGGGTTTGTAATAGAGCCACCGCATAGTCTTTTTAACAACTATACTACGCAAGAGTTCAGCGCAATTCGAAGTAACGCCATTAAAATAAATAATGAAGCTCAATTATCAACGTTATTACGTTTTCATGTTGAACAACATAAACTAAAACGGTTAGAATTTTATGAAGCTATTAAGAATGAATACGGTGATGCTGAAAAAAAAATAAAACCAAGACATAATGAATTGAAATTATTGAAGTTGTGTGGCTTTGATGCTAAAGACAAAAACATTAATGGACTATTTGATGATGATGATGATGATGATGATGAATTAATTAAGAAAGAAGGTAAAATTGTTAAAGATGGAAATATTTCGGAAATTCTAGTGCATGATACAAAAGCCTATGAGAAATATTATTCAAAATATGAGGAATTTTATGTAAGTTTATTTTTCTGTATTGATTAATTTTGGTTTTATTAATTATACATATACTTATTATTTATTTATTATTTTATCTGCTTCGTAAAAAGAACCAATTTCAAATAGATCATCAATTGATAAAAGTATCTCAGTACAGGCAATATGAAAGATTAAAGAAAGTACATGCTTTTATTTTGGGTAAAGTAGAAGCCACCCAATCAAGCAGTCCAGTAACTTCAATTAATGATAATCCTTTTTGTATGAGATCTATTAATGAGAAAGGTAATCTACAGAATTCAACCGATGAATTAATTCCAGAAATCACTGATGATCAAAATAATGATGCTACCATGTCAAATACTTTGATTAAAAACAATAATGATTCTATTCAATCCGACATACTCCCAAAACAATTCGTAGCATTCAAAGTTAATCAAAAGAAATTCACTGCAAAAAAGGATATTCTTTCTATGGAATGCTTTTCTGGTAAACAAACTGCTCAATCTTCACCTTTATCAAACTCACTACAATCAAATCAGCTAGAAGTTAAGGATAAGATTGATCCAAAAGATGATCCATCGCCGAGTCCTGATAAGTGCAGATCCCCAAATTATGATGATCATAAATACATACCAAGTTCTTCATATTCTGCATCTTGGGAGAGTCGATCTAAATATTCTTATAGCTACATTCCAAGATCGAAAGCTATCATGGAGAGAAATTCTGATTATTCAATTCATAATTTCAGGAGATCAATTAAACCTCGACCATATAGAAAGTTACGACCTTATGATAATAGACATCATAGAACTTTTCCACCTTTTCACAGTGAAATAAAAAATTTTAATCCATCATATTCACAGAACAGAGTTTGGAAAAATGATTACACTTCTTCAAAATTTTCTGATCGGTATTCTAGAGACAAAGATTTTACTTCTACCGCTGATAGTTCAAGTCAACACGACGATCGATTTTCGTCATCTTCTTTTATACATAATTCCCCAGAACATGATTCCACTCTATTTGAGTCTTCACACCAAACTGCTAACAATCCTAATCTTACCTCAATTCCTAAATCAAGAAGTACGGATTCTGAATCTATGGATCTTAGTAATAGTCAACGAGATACTACTCCTACCGATGTTCCAACTTCTTCAACCTTAACAAATCATTCTACTGTTTCAAATAATAATTTCGATAAAAAACAATTTCCTCTGGATATGTTTTCATGTATTCCATCGGAGGTGGAAAGTTTATTGGATGACAAGATGTCTTTGAATGATGACAATAGAGATAATGGCTTAAATACAATTCATAAGGATTCTATGGAAAACAAATTTACAAAATATATGCATTATGATGATAATCAATATAATCATGGATATAAGCAAAGGAATTATAATATAGATTTTAATGATTATCGAAAATATAAATATGATACAAAGCCGATAGATGATTATCGTCTGCATAAACCTGGGAATTTTATTTATACTCGACGTCATGGTTATTTTCCAAGAGATAAATATAAGAATATGGGTAACCGATTTTATGATGAGCATAATAGAAGATTTGATAACAAAGATCATCCAATACATCACTATGAAAATTATCAAAGAGATGTTGAATATCAAAGAAGTCCAAGGTATCATCAAAGAAATATGGAATATCTTCGAGATGATAAACATTTAAGAAATGATAATTATATGAATTTTAGTAATAGTGAAAAAAGAATTAATATTCAACATGGTTATCCTTCTTCTCGAAATGATAGACATGATTCACATCATATGGCTTCTGATATAAAGGGGAACTTCGAGATTAATAGATATCATTCACAAACTTATAGAGTTCATAATCCAAGTAACAAATATTTTCATAATCCAAAACCTTATTATAACTATAACTATAGAGGATATCAAAATCCTAGAATGAAATATAAGCCTTACAATGACCACAGTTCATTCAAACGTAGAGATGATTATGGTAGTGGTAGAGGCTCAGTTATAACCCCATAGTGGCATTACCGTTGTGTTACGACTTTTTTGTCGCAATGATACGGTGGTAACTAAATGACAAGGTTGTAACCTATGTCGTAAATAGCTTATTTTATGTTATGAGGGTTATAGGATACATAGTTTATTAAATAAAATGTGGGTTTCGTCATGATTGTCGTCATGATGCATAGTTTATATTAAATATGGTTCGGTAATATATATCATACTTTAACAGTTTGGAAGTATTTTGATTTTTTTTTAAAAAAAAGAGAATAAATAAATCGGTCTTTGAAAAAAAATTGAATGATCTTGAAAAAAAAAATTAAATCGATCTTAAAAGGAAATCTCGAAAAAATGATCTTTAAAAAAACATAATAATAATAAAACGAGTCATGAATAGAATTATGAAGGTTTAATAATTTCTACCGATTCTGATATTTTAAATAAAAAATGAAACTGACTGATCGGACCAAAATTTTATACAAAGGAAAGTCATTATGAAGCGAGGTATCATCATTATAAATCTTCCTAGGCACATTAAAAATGAAAGCTCACCTGGAAAATGATTGTGACAATTAACAATTCTACAAGACATTTACTGATGAGTTCTTGAGAAACTTATGAGTCTTTGAGTCCCTTGGGATTAATGAGGGGTTATTCTTTTCTTAAAGCTTGGTTCATGGCTGGAATTCGTTTGAAATATTAGAAAACCTTTATATGGTTTATAAGAGATTAAGTCAAAAAAAAACATGCTCTATTATAAAGAACATATTTTCTCAAATGAAGATTGCCCGACTAACAAATACAACAAAGTGCTAAATTCTTATACTGGATGTTTGGACGAACCATAATTACAACGTTTATAAAGAATATCTCTATGCTTTAGAGGATTATCTATCTGAAGTTCATGCAGAAGGATTTTTGTATAATATGTCAAAACAACAATTCATAAATATTAAATGAATCCATAACAATAATTTCCTATAAACATTACTTCTACAAAAAATGCATTGATCGACATTTATTTTTAGACACAAGATGTTTTTTATACCAAAAAAAATAGATTTTAACAAAAAAGTAATATCAAAGTTTAATTCACCTTTCCCCTTCGTTGTCGTCTGGTAGTGTGCACAATACTGATAATAAATACTTTACTGAAGAAGGCTTTGAGCCGGACGCTAATGTTAATATGAATGGCATTGCTTATGCCATTTTGTTTGAACCAAGCCTTATTAAACTATGGAAAGATATTGGTTATCATGAAGTTTGTATCGAATTTAACGAGTTACTATATATTTTTTTTCATATACAAACCTGAGCTTTTAAAATACTATTTGATGAAGAAGTGAAACAGTTAAATAAGTTGATCAGTTTAGGATTCAGATTCAAATATAGCACTGTTACGATCATGCTAGATTTACAGTTACAAAATAGGGATAAATATTCTGGCATAAATAAAATCTTGTTAGAGCTTTTTAAAAAAGAAATTAGTGACTATTATGGATTATTGTCAATAAAATTTCTGATTTTATTAAAACGAGAAATTCAATTGTATAATTATTTATGCAGCATCGAATGCAAAAATATGCACAAAAAAAAAAAATTCAAAAAATTCATCTGAAAAACATTAGAGATTTTAATAATTAATCTGAAAAAAAATAGAAAATTTTAATAATAAATCTACACAGTTAATTGTAAAGAATCGCATAAAAATGGATCATTATTCGTTGCAAAATTTAAACAAAACACCATTCCGATCTTAAAGATTTCATTATGGTATAAAACACACTAGACTTCAGCACAGCTTTATTTCTTAAATAATTAGTACAGAAGTGATTAAACGTGGCTTTATATTACAAGAATACTTTACCATATTTGTTACTGATCGAGAATTAGCATTTTTAAGAGTTATTAGTAGAGTCTTTGTTAAAATTCAGCAGATTCTATATATTTGTTTTATAGAAAAAAGTGCAAACATTACTTTGACATAAAATAGCGATAGATCAGATTTACAAAAGTGTGGTGAATTTTAAATGATAAATGTACCACTTGCATATTGGTGACCGAGCTATCATGAGTACAAAGAGCGCTTGAATCAATGAAATGCAAAACATCAGTGGATTAAAGGCTTCTATTTTGAGTATCGGAAAATTCAACACATCCCGTAAATTGACACGTCCACTTCCGATAATACATGAATATCTGTAAAATGTTATGAGTGGTCCAGGAGCCACAAATATGCAGAAAAACCTTGGATGAATTGTAGAAATAAGGTTCGCATAACAAAAAAAAAGCAAGACACGGAACCCGACTTTTATTTCAAATTTGATTATATAAAAAAGATTTTAGAAAATTTCCAAAGATACACCTTAAATGACCTTTATGCCTGTCATAGGTCATTTAACTTATGAACTTTTTTGATATAGCAAGAATCATAGTAAAAAAAAATTTCATTGGCGTCAGCATTTAATATGACCGTATGACTATGACCAAAAAGTCATATGATTATATGACCAAGGTTATATAGCAAAAATGGTACGTATGACATAGGTCATCGGCCAACACTGCATGCATATGCTAGCATAATTTGTAAATCCGTGTAACGCAAAATTAAACCAAAATTAGGTTAAGGTTTAAGAATTATGTGATTGGTTAATTTGTATATAACCAATAGATCTATAAATAATTAGACACTGCTTACATATAAACTTTAGGCAATTCCTACTCGTACATAGTGTGTGAAACACAGGTACATGTATACCTTAAATTTATGCTTATAATGATTTTCAGGTTCTAATCAAAAAATTTAAGTGAAATTTTAGTATAAAACTTATTCTAACTTTAATTTGTATTACATGGATTATTACTGCTGGATCATAAAAAATATATTTATGCAAAAAGCCAAAGACCAAAACGAAGAGATCTGTTAGCATCCGAGCCCGCTGAAAAATGAACAAGATAGTGTGATTATGTCACTTAACAGAAATAATTGCTGATGTAGTTCTATGAAATATTTTTTATTTATGATCGACTACATTGAGTTACGAAAAAAATGGCGGTGGTAAAAGAATCACATATTTCGGTGAATACTTGGAATATCCTATCAAATTAAATAGCAATGGGAAGCGAGGCGAGTAATTTATTTATTTATATTTTTAATATGAAATTCTATCCCGGTTTTTTCAAAAAAAATTAAAATAAAATTGATTTGCGTCTTTTTTTTCTTTATTGATTTGATTAAGTTATCCATTTTTTGAATTTTATCCAAATTATCATAAAAATTGGGCTAGTTTAGTAAGATTTTGGTAGGATTCACTAACAGCCGTTTTACTAACAATTTACATCTAGCCAATACTAACTATAGATCGCCATAAAAAGTCTGGTTATGCGCTACCAGACCAAAATTAGCAAAATTCTGCTAATGAAACCACGGGTGCGGGTCAAAATCCCGACAAACAGAATCCCGACAGGTGGGGTGAGTCAATAGAAACGCACCAAATCTTTTTTAGTGAAATATTTTTGCGACTTTAAACAAAGGTAACTTGACAAGAAATTATTCAAATTTAATAAATATTTTTTTATACAAATTCTATAAGAATTTAGAATTAATTTTAAAAAAATTTTATTAAATATAGTTAAGTTCTTGCTAAGTTATTTGGGCTTAAAGTTTTAAAAAAATTTACTTAGAAAAAATCTGGTGCGTTTCTATTGACTCACTCCCAGGTCATAATCCCGACAAAAAAATCCCGACAATTAAAAATCCCGACAGCCAGAATTTTTAGGTATAAAATCCAAGTATGAGATATGTTTAAAGCGAAATAGTCTCTTATAACTTAATTAATTTTAGGGTTAGATCACTTTAGATAATGGTTAGGATAGGGTTTGCTATGGTCTATGATATTTTTTATCAGAGTTTTTAATTGTCGGAATTTTTAACTGTCTGGATTTTTGACTGCGGGATTTTTAGCTGTCGGGATTCTGTTTGTCAGGATTTTGACCCAAACCCGAAACCACAGCTGCCCTATTAAGTAAAATATTTTCGGAATAATTTTACCTTGAACGAGGCCGAACGTTTCAAAAAATAATTTTCGGTCAAATTATAATTTTGAAGATCATCAGCTTAAATTAACCAACTGTATAAGGGTGCTCCCAAGCATCTAAATTAATAATAGATCGGTGCTCAATTTTTAATTAACGGAATATAATTTGGACGGTCAAATAAGCTTGTCATCGCAATAAAAAAAAAATGGTCTAGACCATCTTTTTTATCAAAGTTGTGTTTATTGGATAAAATTTAAGATCCGCATTTCGCACTTTAAACCTTCAGCAAAATTGCCGTAGTAATGATCTCAATTAATTATGGTGCTTGTGCACGATCTTGTTTACTAGCTGATCACATTGCGGAATATGCTTGAGAACACCTAAATTACGTCACCAGTATGGCCGTCCTGGATAATTCGACGAACATAAGACCATCCCAAGATGAAGCGGTCACTTGGCGCGCGATTCATTTTCAAATTCTAGACTTTTTAATACAAAATTGTATAAATAATAATAATTTACAAACTAAACATTCCTGAGGTGAATAAAGCAATTAGTTACCGGTCTTTTATTGGATCCCATACGTGGACGACGAAATTCACTTTTAAGCTATCAGATTCATTTATCTTCAATCAGGCTTAAATTAAAAACGCACCTTTGGATAACAATATAGATTTAACAAATTTATTCTATATTGAATATGATTTATAGCATTTACTAATGTTGCACCAAGCTATATTGTTATCTATCTTGTTGGTATGCTTGCACCGTAAAATCAGTAAATGGGTGAGTACACAACAAGACCATGCTTAGAGTATATGTATTATATATACTCTAAGCGTGGTTTTGCTGTGTACTCACCCAAATGCTGATTGTATTAATCGCCATTTTGATATTTTATGTACTCCTATTGACCATTCTCGTGGATATATAATTGATAAGCGAAAACAATCATGCATAAAATAATATTTTTATTATTATGCCCGCATAGAATTCAAACATATGCGATCACATAATAGACACGTAAAATGTTACTGATTTTTACTAAATTTATGTAGTTTATACGACATTTGTGCGAAACATTTTAAACGAATAATAAAAACATGTAATGGTGTATATAATTTATTTCCATTAACACGTTCATTATTTATTATATTTAATACAGTTGTTAACTAAATTCAAATTATCACATTATATTGTAAAATCGGAATTTATAATGAAGTGCGTTTCATATCGCATAATATGGATTCTCTAGCTGCCCACATTACTTCTATATTATTATTGGAAAATAATTAAATTTAGTGCCTTTGGGGTTAGGGTTAGAGGAAATACGTAAAATCAGGTATTGACAACTTTATATAGAAATTCAGCACAATAAAAGTTTAAGGACTTCGCTTGTTACACAAGACCATTAGACATTGGCCCTGAGGGACATCGAAATAGAGTAAAATACTATTTTGCTTATGATGTTAGAAATATAGAAATAAGCATGCGTGCATATGCATGCAACTCGAAATTAATAAAATATAAGGTGAACCGAATAAATTATAAATTTAACTCCTTTTAAGCTAATTCTTTATATAATTTGAAACACACCTTATCAAATGCATAACTTAGTCAATGTGGCCAGGATATAATATGCATAGTCAACAAACAAAGTACCTAAAAGATAGAATTCAGGTTATACATATGAGCGAAAATCAATGTGATTGATTAGGTTAAATAAAATTTGAGCCAACAATTTACGTGATATATTAGGTAATATATATCATGGCCCTAATTGAAATAAATACTTTTATTATTCGTTTAAAATGCTTGGCACAAATGTCGTATAAATTCCATAAATTTAGTAAAAATTAGTAACATTTTATGTATCTATTATGTGGTCACATATGTCTGAACTCACTACTAAAAGAGCGAAAAACAATTTAAGTTATGATACACCCATGATTCGGTAACGATGACAAAGATGCTATAAAAACCCAGTTTATCCAGTTAAACATCTCCATTTATTGCACACTTTTTTTTTAAAAAAAAAAAACTCTTACCAAATTGACCGCCTTTTGATCATTAATATTCAAATAATTTTATGTTTTCCAAAAAAAAAATTTTTAAATAAATAATTTCTAGCTTTAGTCAATAATCTCAGAATGTGCAAATCATTTATCGCTTCATTACTAGCTTTCTTATTCATTTTGTCACCCACAGTTTTGGTTGCGACGATCACTCCAGGGCAAATCATCACTAATTGTGCAATCAATGGAACCGCTGCTATCACCTTTGATGATGGCCCATCTGAGGCATGTGATGATCATTTTATGCTTGTATTATCCATATTATCCATTTATTAATAATTTATTTTTTTCAATAGTGGACTCACGAGTTATTGGACTTTCTCAAAGATAATGGCATAACAGCTACATTCTTCATTAATGGTGATAACTATAATTGCATATATGATTATGCAGATGTCATATTACGTATCCATGAAGAAGGACATCAAATTGGATCTCACACTTGGTCTCACCCGGATTTGACATTGGTTAATCAAACTGAAGTCTTTTATCAAATTACTTCTCTTGAAAAAGCCCTTAAAAAAATTCTCGGGTTGGTTCCAAAATACCTCCGTCCTCCCTATGGTTCATATAATGATGAAGTGATCAATACGATTGAAAGTCTTGGATACACTATTGTGCTTTGGAACCTAGATACTATTGATTCTCTGGGAGGATCTGTAGAATATGGTTTAGAAAAATATAGAACTTCCGACGGTCCTCCATCATCTCATATTGTGTTGGATCATGATTCCCACAAACTTAGTTGTCAACAACTTGGCCCTCAGGGAATTCAAATTTATTTGGATAAAGGATTTAAGCTTATGAGTGTTGCTGAATGTATTGGAGAAACTGATAGCTCTCTTTGGTATCAATATATAGGTACCCCGAGTGATAGAGATGATACTTGGACGTGTAGCCCTGGAGACATTCATAAAGACAGCGATGGTTTTACCAATTCCGACTTTTTTATTGATGAAGATTAAATTTAGCATTTACAGTATATTGACATTCGAAATCTACAAACTTTTTCCTAATTATTAAATAAATAATGCAGTAATAAGTGCTAATCTCGTGATGTTTATTAATTTTTTTGTACGTACATATGTAAAAGTCGAATCATTGAGATAGAAAATGTAATATTAAAATCTATTTTGTTTTAATAAATTAATTTTTTGTCCTGTAACTTAGCAATATTAGTTTTGGAACTTCAATTTTGTTTAAAATAACAAGGTGGAGATAGCTAACAATAAATCGCATATTACTGTAGTGCATTGACTAAAAAAAAGAATTCATTCGCTATCCCTATTTGTATACTACTTCAACCTGTGTACGCTGCTCAAATATAGAAATACAATATATATGAGTGCTGCCAAGAGAAAACCTGCCATCGGGCTTTCAATTATATTTTTTGTCCAGTTTGTTCCCAGAACGTCATCTTGGGAAATCTATAATCGAGTTTAATCAATTATATTTGTACAAATATAATTAAAAGCCCGATGATATATTTTCTCTAGACTGCACTCTGGAAACAAACTGAACACAAAATATAATAAATAACTAAAAATCACAATAGCCCTTATCGTTATGTGTAATTTTTTTAATTTGGGCCAGTATTTGTAATAATTTTCACTTTTCAGGCCCTTGTTTGTAAATTCTCCTATTTTTTTTTTGCTCGTGTATAATTTTTTTTTTACCTGACCATAATTATTTTTTTAATCTATTTACCGTTTAATACAGTCTATGAAACCGTTTTTTTTACTTCCTATATTTTTTTATCTAGAACTGAAAAATGTCCACTAACTATCCCTACATCACCTTCATGACTAATGACAATAACCCTTCCAAGACCTTCTATTATGTTCCCTCCAACACCACACAATCAAAGACCTAGCCAAAGGACACCTAATTCCAATCTTCAACATAGAAATAGGAGAACAGATATGGTAAGTAAAACTCTACCTTCTTACATGTATTTGGAGTCAAAAAATAATCTATATTTTTACATTCTGTATATTAATTTAAATAATCCGGCTATAATCAGGTGAGATCGAATAGTATAAAAAGAAGGCACAAATTTTTTATTATATAATCGGATTATTAAACACGAAAAATAATTATTTGTGTAATGTGTAGTATTTATTTATAAAATGCCAATGGATTTACTTTGCTAACAGGAAATCATATAAAATTTATTTCTTTTGTTTTTTAGATCGATCAGGAGTTGGCGGGTTAGGTGTTATGGTATGAACCTTCTGCTTGGCAAGCAATTTCTGCTTTGGATAAATAAGTAATCTCTGTTTCTCTGCATTTTCTTTTACAAAGAACTAAATGTGAATTATTATTAGTAAATAATCGGTGAGAAATTATAAACCGTTATTATTGACACAGTCGAAATGGTGCGTCAGTCACTTCTCAATCGGATACATTGTGTAACCTACGAATCAGCTTAATCGATTATATTTGGCAAGTGGAGTTAAGTTCATAGATATGACTTCTTTCTTCCTACTGGTCTCTATACTGATACGGCTTACTAACTCTTGTACTCACAATTCCTATAATCACTATCACAACTGGGACCTTCCTCTTGGACCTCAAACCGGAATATAACAACCACAACTTTCCACGATACGTTGGGATGGTTGGAAATCAACCACAGTAGTCCTCAGTACATCGAGAATCAACCGGAAAAGGTAACGATAGACTTTACGATATCACATAAGCAAGAATACAAGAGTGTTGATCGTACCACTTATGACACTTAAGCAGTAGATCGGGATGTAAGTATTTAATTGTAACATAAGGAATGTGTGATTATAAGGAGATGAATTTATTAATTACAAATGATCCCCTTCTTCTTCGTAGGGCTCGAAGCCTTTATTTTATATAAGGCATGTTATACACTATGAGCCGTAGAATGTGATCCCGGAAGCACGTGGAAGGAGGTGATCGATTTGGCGTGGTAACAATTAATGGCTATGTCGATCATCTACCTAATATGGGCTTCTGCTCCTAAAAGTCATATAGAGATACAAGAGTAATAGTGGCAATAAGGGTTTTTAAGAGAAAACTTTAATTAATGGGATATATAGGAATTAAGGGTTTTAAGTAATAAGAGACATTAAAGGGATATAAGGGGGATAATATATTCAATAGGATTAATACATCTAGTACCTTAAAGAACACATATGTAATATAATAATATATAATAAAGGCTTCAAGCCCTAAAAGAACAATTTCAGTTGTGTGTTAATTATAAATTTTGCTTCTATAATAATTCTCTATTTTATTGTATTATAAAACCTATAATTATAAACATATCATTTTTCAAATTTAACCACCTCTTATTGATTAAGCTGTTCATAAGTTACATAACATATCCTATTGACAAGTGATTGACTTGCTGTTTTACTTGTGTTATTTTGGTAGTAACTGTGAGATTTAAACATTATCTATTCTCTTCTAATTCAAATTTTTGTATTAGTACTTGAAAACTTCTTCTTCTTATAACTATACTGTTAAAAAAATACCTTTTTATTAAAGTTAAAATGAATAAAGACTAGCTTAAAGAACTCCTGAATAGATTAATCACCTATTTTGTCCAAGTTGCCAATACTATTATCAATTCAAAGAAGGATTTTGAAGACTGAAAAGAGTTGACTTATATTAAGATTGTCTCTTTCTATAAAAATAATAACAAAGATTTTATTGAATAGTTGGAGTCATTCAAAAAGATTATCATGGTTAATAATTGGTCCAAACAGAAATATTGAAAATCACATTTGAATATCTTCAAGGTTGGGTTGCTAATTAGTATAAAGAAAAAAAGAAATAGTTAAAAGAATAGAAAAATTATGACAATCAAAAAGAAAGTTTTTATTACATTTTTCTAAAATTCTTTATTATATTAAAGAAATTTTATTATTAGCAGATAGATTTGAATAATCACCAACAATAAAAGAATAAGAAGATTGATGCATATGTAATAAAACTTAAACATCTTGTTGATAGAATAGATCTTGAAGAAGAGTTGTCTAACTTCTATGTTATTAGAATGTTTTTAAGCAGACTACATAACAAAATCTGATCTTTATACTTATTTTTAAACTTGATACTTTAGAAGAGGCTATTGTTAGTATATGAAGGGTTAAAGCTGGTAAATGTTATAGTAAATAGATCCAGAAAAAAGGGTACCAAAAAAAGTTTGAGGAGAAATTAGGTAATTTATTCCAAAAGATTGTATAGATTAGTCTAAATTATACTATCCTTAGTGAAAAACATTTTAAAAAACCTTATGACAAAAATAAATAGAGAAATGATAAAGATTAGGAGAAATGCTATAAAGTTATAAAGGAAATAATATGTTATAACTGTAGTAAGGTTGGTCATATCACTTGACATTGTTTGTTAAAAAAGATTCTTAGAAGAGTAATAATTAAAAAAAACCTAACAACTATATTAAAAGATGCATATTTTATAGTAATAATGAAAACTAAAAAGAGAATGAAGTATATAACCTAAATAAAAACCAATACTAGCTATATAAAGAAAATAGTAAAAAGATGATTCAGGGTTAACTAGAATCTAAGTAGAAGAATCATCTAAAAAATTATAATACAATAAATGTATTACCATTAGTTAACTTAAAAGAAGATTCTAACATAATGCTAAAAGACAAGTTCATATCTGTAAAAAAACAAAAAAAAGTATAATCTATCAATAATTAATAAACTCACTCTTACAATATTACAAAAGATATTATAAATGCTCTTACTAATATCATAATAAGTCAAATGCTTTAGTACTCCAATTAAAAAAGAAACTTGACTCTAGCTTTATAATAATTCTTACTACTTATACAAAAAGCCAGTTACATAAAATTTAAGAATGATAAAAAGATGATAGTAGCATATTGCTATATTAGAATTCAAGGCAACTCAGTTGTAATAGTATTGAACTTTGAAGTAATTATAAGTATTATAACAAAAAAATTAGGTAATAAGTTGGAGTTTTATAAATAATCAAAATTGTTCATTGTCATAGTTATGACTATAGATGTTAAAACAAAAGTGGTAAATAAAATAATAATATAAGAATAATAATTCAAAATGCAGTAATTTTTAGCACTCTACAAGTTATAAAATTGTTAAATAAAACTTTATTTTTAGAAACAAATTGGTTCCAAAAAGCCAAAGCATGTCTTCATTTTAACAACAATATTTAATCTTGAAGCACCAAGTTAGAACTATCAAGGTGCCAATCTTTTATACCAATACTGAAAGCCTAAAGAAGTTCCAGAAGAATAAATATAAAAAAGGTAGTAGTAACAAGTTTGATAAGTTCACTTATAAAGATAAAGAATTAGATAAGATTGATGGATATTATATTGTAAAATTTTCTAACAATAAAATTAACCTCTATAGTAATCTATAAAAAAATAAAGTTAGACTAATAATATATCTACTATTAGTCAAGAAAGTGTCTATTTAGAAAAAGAAGAAACCCAAACTTACTATAATAAAAGTTGGAAAAATTCATCTAATCTGACACTTTGAGTAATAAAAAGAAAGAAGAAGTTTGCATTTTCTTTAAGAAAGAAAATTGCTTGTTTACTATAAGCCTTGATAGATTAAAAACCACTAGTCTTATAACTTATTATATAGATATCAGCAAAGCTCAGCTTATTAAGCAACATTTTTACAGAACATTTCTTAATAAACAGAAATTCTTAAATGAGAAGCTAGAGTTATTAGAAAGACAAAAATTGATTGAAAAGTCTGAAGTTCATAAGCATTTCCAGTAGTAATTATTTTAAAGAAGAATGACAAGTTGTATATACTGTATATATAGACTATTGATGGTTAAATTCAGTAACAAAAAAAGACACATACCCACTTTTATACATTAATAACTTACTAGAAATGTTTAGAAAAGTGAATTGGTTTACTAGCTTAAACCTTAAGAGCAGTTCTTAGCAAGTACAAAT